AGGGGGCAGAGTAAAGGAAGGGTTTGGAACTGAGCTCAGGAAGTGACTTTCTCCCTCCCTCTCTCCCTGCCTCTCCTCCCTCCCTCCCTGCCTGCCTCTCCTCCTCCCCCACCTCTTCCTCTGCTTGTTTCCCCCCACCCTCATCTTTCTTCATTTCTCTTTTTCTTAACCTTTCAGCCAATGCCCTGACTCATTCCAGAAGGGTTAATGCAGTGCCAAGTGATTTCAGTGTCTCAGATGTGGGTGCCGTTGGATCATTGGCCAGCAGGTAGTTAGCTCAGTTAGCCGCTGCAATAAGTGAAAAGGGGTCTCACCCTTATGACTCAAAGACCTTTTCTCATTTCCAAGGCCACTTAACCCTCACCACCTTCCTCCGAGGTGCAGGGTTTAGTCATCAGGAAATTGGGTGGGAGCGTATGACTGCATTCCAGTAAATTCCTCTCTGCTTGCTGGGAAAGCCTTGGTATTCCTGGTCTCCTAGGCGACACCTGGAGTCACTTGGGTAGGAGCAGGGTTTCAGACATGGCCTGGAGCTCCTAACTTCGGACCCAAAGTCCAGCCTGCTTGAGAAGGAGGCGGGAGCAAGTGGTGGGCAGTTGGATTAAGGGCAGCGGACAGGGGCTCATGAGGTGCAGCCCACCCCCGAGCCCCTGCCCCTCCGGACTCCACTTCTCACCCATCCTGGCTGGACACTTACCCCACGTCAGGCATTAAACTGGAGGCTGGGAGGTACATTTAATAACTTCTCCTCCACAGAACCTTTATGTCGAGAGGGCGATGCAGACTTCCCCACAGGCGGGGCAGGCCTCTGTGACAGGTGCTGTGGTAGGAAACGCGGAGGTCCCCCCACCCCAACTCAAAGGACATGTGTCTCACGAGGCTTGGGCCTCAAGGGAGGCGGCCTGGAGGAAGGGGCCTCTAAGTCAAATGAAGACGGTGGGGGAGCGGGGAGAAGGCCCACCCAGACGGGACAGCATGCTTGAAGTGAGACCCCAGGGCTTCTGTGGAGCAGTGACGAGTAGCTGGTATACTGGGGACCCAGGGGCGTGGGGTGACAAGCCACGAGGCTGGAGAGGCCGGCAGGGGTAGGGATGCAGAGCCTTACCCTGGCTGTGCAGGTTCATGGCTCTTTCCCTGGCCACAGACAGAGGTGGTCCCGGTGGAGACGATGCTGGGAGACATCGTCAGGAGACATTGGAGAGGTGGGGGTGCTAGGATGTGGGTGAGGGGTTTGTTAATGTGGGGTAGAGATTTCTTCGGTCATTTCCCAACTCAGAGGTAAGATCTGAACTTGGCTTTTAGCACCACTGCCTTGGGTTCACAAATGGGGAGATGCTGGGGTGCCTCCTGCCCCAGCTTCTCGCCCTCTCTTGCAGGACCTCCTTTCCCGCCCTGCCCACTCTAGCACAGCACACACGGCTCGGTGTGCAAATAGCCATTTCGTTGCTCTGTGGCACTCTGAAGATAGCAAACCTCTGAAGAGCTGGGGCAACTCACAAGGGTAGGCTGAGCTCTTAGCGGTTTAACCCAGGCTCAAAGCCTAACCCAGCACCCACACGCTGATGCCGCCGCCCCGTTTCTAACTGGCTGGTCCCTCCTGGCTTTGAAGTGCTTACCAGACAAGGGGCTGTATGGTGTTGTGTTAAGGTGTGTAATGTTGAAGTGAGAATTCAGGTTTGAATCCTAGCCCTTCCACTTACTAGTTGTGTGACTTTGGTGAGTCAGCTAACTTGTGCTTCAGTTGCTGCACCCGTAGGACAGGGACAACAATCCTATGAGCCATATCGTAGGGTGGTTGTGTGGGTAAAATGAGTAAAGTGCATAAAACTGGGCCTGAACTCGGTGTGAGTGAGTCATGAGACCCTCCCTCCGCTTCAGAGCGGCCCAAGAGCAGATGGTTTCTCTCGGTGCCTGTTTGGTCTCTGTCAGAGGGAGTTCGTTCTTGGTTGGACTCGAGGTCTCTCTGCCCTTGGCTTTGGTTACAGAGGATGTCTACCTAACTGTTAGACTCATTGCGCTTTCTTTTTCTTGCTCTAGCCCTTTTGTTCTTCTCCAAGGCTATTTCTTTAGCTCCCAGCAGTTTAGCTCCCAAATGCTCTCCGCTTGCCCCTTCCTCTCTAAACCCTGTCCTCTCCGAGCCACCTCCCTTGTGTCTTTTCCTCATCGGGTCATTCTCTGGGCAACATGCTATTACCATCTCAGTACAGCCTTGCTTGTTCATGGGTCTGGTGAGTTTTACTTTGCTCTGACTAAACTGAAAGTACTCAGGACATTTTAGGCCTGTTGTGTAATCCCTGCCATGCTGGGGAAGGGGTGGGGGAGGGCCAAGAGAGGTCAGTTAAGAAGGATAATTAATTCAAAAAAATAGTCACTCAGGTAAAAAAATATTTACTAGAAATTTTTAAAAAGATATTTCTGAGAGAATTGAGAAATATAACCCCCAACTGGATATTTGATATTAAAGGGCTGTTGTTAATTTTTAAGTGTGGCTTAGTGATAAAGGTGTTTTTGTCATATTATATATGTATGCTTGCATTTATGGATAAAAGGATCTGATGTCTGGGATTTGCTTAAAAATAATCTAGTGAGTGGGGTGGGGATGTAGATTAACGAAGCAAGATTGGCGATATAGTGATAGTTTTTGAAACTACATGATGATTCATCGGCCTTCTTTGACTCATCCATATTTATTTTTGAGTATGGTTGAAAATGTCTGTAATAAAAACGTACACATTAAAAAAGACCCTGTTGTTTTAAAGGCAGTTCAGGGACTGTTTCTCCTCTCCTGCGTGATTGGGGCGGGAGGTGGAGATGAAATTGGGAGAAATCAGTTTTCTCCCTCTCCACACCCACTGTCTGTTGCTCTTGTCAGACCCTGATCTGTGGGTGTCAGAAGGCTCTGAGACGGAGGCCCCGTGACACAGCCCCCCTGCACAGCCGCACACGAAGTAGGGGGCCTCGAGGTCCAAGCTGGGTGCAGGAGGCCTCTGCCTTACTGTCCTCCTGCCCAGCCCCGGAACTGTCCTCTAGGCAAAAACCTCATTAATCTCTGTCAAGATTTATAGTCATCAGGTTGAAAGTCCTTCATAATTATCAGGTAATTATGGTAACAACTACTTGTCAACAAACAGCTCTACTTTGAGGGGTGGGGAAGGAGCAGCGGGAAGGGCAGGGATGGTCAGAGAACTTCCTTTCCAGCCAGACACCACCCTGATAATTAATTCGGGAGTGAGTGAAGTGGAGAGGTGAAGGTGGGTGCAGATGATAGGGCTGCCTGGTCCCGCCCTTTGTTCATGCTGCCCTTGAACTGGACAGGGCTCTTCCTCTTCCGCAGCCACGGCGTAGACGAGGGAGCACCCTCCACACTTCCCTTTACCATAGAAGCCCAGAGTGGACACCTGTGGGCAAAGCATAACAGACTCTGAATACTTGCATTTCAGGGGTTGACTGTATCTGAAGCTCATTTTCTTTTCTTTTTTTTTTTTTTAAAGATTTTATTTGTTTAGTTTTAAGGGTTGGGGAAGGGAGGGGAAAAAGAGAGGGAGAGAAACATTAGTGTGCAAGAGACACATCAATCGGTTGCCTCTCCCATGCCCCCTACCCGGGACCTGGCCCACAACCCAGGCCCGTGCCCTGACTGGGAATCAAACCGTCGACCCTTTGTTTTGCAGGCTGGTGCTCAATCCACTGGGCTGTACTTGCCAGGGCTGCCTTTCCTTTCCCTCCTGTTTCTTATTCTCTGCCCTGGAGAGGTAGAACCTAACCCATGCTTTGCTCTGTGCTCTCCATGTGGTAATTCCATGGAGTACATTGCAGGTGACAGAACCACGGTGAGGGAAGACCAAGAGGACCCTGAGGCAGTGGTGGCAGATTATGTCTGTCTATCTGTCTGTCTCTTCTACTATGGAAGAGAATATGTCTGTTTTCCCCTTTCCCACTGAGTATTAGAATAGTGATTGGCACAGAGTGGTGTTCAGTAAATATTGGTTGGATGAATGACTATATAATCTGAAGTTAAACTTGGAGGGACAATTTCATAAAAAAGTTAGGAAGATAGATTTAAGCTATAAATTATTTGTTATTTATTTTTTAAGTTTTTATTTATTTAGTTTTAGAGAGCAGGGAAGAAAGGGAGAAAGAAAGAGAGAGAAACATCAATGTGCAAGAAAGACGTCCATTGGTTGCCTCTCACAGACCCCCAGCTGGGGACCTGGCCCGCAACCCAAACATGTGCCCTGACTGGGAATCAAACTGGTGATCTTTTGATTTGTGGAACGATGCCCAACCCACTAAGCCACACCAGTCAGGGCTAAGTTATTTTTACTACTTAACTTATTTTATTCTAACACTCCACTAATTCATCCATATGTGAATCTATGTGTTATATTGCACATATAATTAAGAGCTCATTACAACAGGGAAGACTCCTTCATTACTTTTTGGAATTAGTAGAGCCATCCTTACAAACCCTGAAGAGGGGGAAAAAACCCTTCTAATATGTGATAGCAGAGCTGAGGAAGAGAATCCAGCAGCTGAGAAGTGAATGTTTGGTCTCCTGTAGAGAAATCTACAATTCTGACAACTCTTTCAGAGACTGGGATCCTCACAAATAATGTCTGAAACAGGTATTTCCATGCTCACTAATTCTTAAGAAAGTACTAGCTAAAAATGTCAGGAATGCCGGAGGTTATTTGTGACATGTGTTTTGAACTGACACTCTGAACCCCTCCACCCCCCACAAAGCACTCGGTCCTCTAGCTTTGGGGTAAATATTAAATATAGTTCAAGTGCGGGGAAAGAAGGATGGTTTGTTCTTCCCTTTCATCAGCCTTTAGGATCTGCCACGACAGGTGGAGAAACGCTAGTAGTTTTATCTAATGTATTAAGTTCACGGGCAAAATGCTGGTGGAACATACAAAATTTTTCCTTAATCTTTCTTGATCCTCTGTGCCTGAGTTTGTTAGGACATTCACCCCCGTCCCCATTTTGCTTCTATGTAGGGTCACAATGGCCATACCCCCTCGTGGTTGCCGCAAGAACCTGGACCCCAGGTACCACAGACTCTGTGATTTAGATGAAATTTGGGGCATCGTCCTGGAAGCAGTGGCTGCAGTCGGGGCTGTGACCTCGGTGGCCTTCATGCTAGCTCTCCTGATCCTGGTCTGCAAGGTGCAGGACTCCAACAGGCGGAAGGTGCTCCCGGTCCAGTTTCTCTTCCTCCTGGGTGTGCTGGGGATCTTTGGCCTCACCTTTGCCTTCATCATCACACTGGACAGAAGCACGGGGCCCACGCGCTTCTTCCTCTTCGGTGTCCTCTTCTCCCTCTGTTTCTCCTGCCTCCTGGCTCACGCTCTCAACTTGATGAAGCTGGTGCGCGGGTGGAAGCCGCTGTCCATGAAAGTGATGCTGGGCCTGGCTGTGGGCTTCAGCCTGGTGCAGGACATCATCGCCATCGAGTATGTCGTCCTCACCATGAACAGGACCAATACTGAAGTCTTCGTGGAGCTTTCTCCCCCTCGGCGCAATGAGGACTTTGTCATGCTGCTCATCTTCGTCCTCTTCTTGATGGTGCTGACCTTCCTCACATCCTGCTTCACCTTCTGTGGACCCTTCACTGGCTGGAAGAGACATGGGTCCCACATCTACCTCACCACGCTTCTCTCCATTGCCATCTGGGTGGCCTGGATCACCTTGCTCTTGATCACCCCTACTCCTGGCCCCGAGTGGGATGATACCATCCTCAGCTCAGCCTTGGTGGCCAACGGCTGGGTTTTCCTGTTGGTTTATGTTGCACCTGAGTTTCATCTGCTCACGAAGCAACAGAACCCCATGGATTACCCTGTTGAGGATGCTTTTTGTAAACCTCAATTCATGAAGCAGAGCTATGGTGTGGAGAACAGAGCCTACACTCAAGAAGAAATCACACAAGGTATTGAGCCTGGCTGGGTGGAGAGCCCCTTATAGAAGGGCGGGGGAGAATCACAGGGTATTGTAATGGGAAGGGACATGCAAGTTTATCCGTCTCGTGCCCCTGACAGAACAGATCAGGCCCCCAAGGCTCAGATCTTGCTTACAGTCATCCGGCTAGTTAACAACAAATGGAAGTAGAAGCAGGCCTCTGGAGCCGTAACCTAGTACTGTCTACACAATACCATGTAGGTTTCTCTGAATCAAAATTAGGTGATGCAAAGGGATGACTAGAAAATTTCTTAGATACAAGTTGGTGAGATTGTGTTCTTTATAAAAGATAACTAGGCATCCCTTCTGGAAGCATGGGGCCTTTACATATTTGGGTGTATAAGTCAAGCCCGGATTTCCTGCCTTGATCAGAGGGCACAGAGCAGGTAAGAAAGCCTTTTTATCATAAACCAGCAGGAATCTCCGTAAAGTTACTAAGGATTCTGATTTAACCCAAAGAGCTACATTTTATTGCATGTGTCTGGGCTCATGGGAGGGAAGAGATCATATCTGACAGGAAAGAATGAACTGATTTGCTCTTGCCTGGAGTTGTGAGCAGCCAGGTGTTCTGTTGTTGTTCTCATCGCAAAAAGCGGCTAAGCTGACAGCCAGACACCGCCCTGTCCATAGGGATCTATTTATTGGTCTCCAGAGTTTACACTGAAATCTGGGCCTAATAATCAGGGGTGGGGAATGGGTTTGCGGCAGGAGGGAAGGGCCTGCAAGGCCAGGCTCTTAGCTGCCGCTAACAGTTTCTCTGCTCTTGAAGCCTGGGGTGCAGAGCTTCCTGGTGCTTCTGCCTGCCAGCTGGGGGCCCTCTCCTGGGCCCTTGGAAGCCCAAGGGGAAGGGGAGGGCCCGAGGGGCTGTTTTACTCACCTGTCCCATCCTGTCCATTCCCACAGCTTCACGCTGTCACCTTACTGCTGAGACTCACTGCTATCATTATCAGTCCCTAGCTGGTCTTCCTTCTTTAACCCTTCCTTCTATTCATTTTGTGGGCCACTGTCAGCTTACCCTAGGACATTCCCCTGGCCACCGCACTTTATTGTCACCTACCTAACCAGCTCCCCAGTGCCCACTGCTTTGATGAAATCCTTGGTGCCGCTTTTCACAGCCAGAACCCAATAGCCATGCGAGCTTTGCTCTCAGTCCAAACCTACCAAGTCATTTTCTTGCCTCCGTGTCAGGCTCAAGGAGTGTCCGTCCTCTGCCGGGCAGTTGCCAGACAGTCCTTATTCCTTTGCTCGCCCTTTTCCAGAGTCACCCAGTCCCCAAGCTTTGCCAGTGCTCACGCTGCCCGCGCATCTGTAGAACCCCGAGGCGCTGATCGGGATGTCTCATCCCGCAGTTATCTGTGCGGCTGTCATGCGCTTCTTATTCTCTAGGGTCAGCTGCAGGGCAGGAGTTGGTCTGGTTAATCCTTATGTTCTTCACAACATTTTACATAGGGAAGGTGCTTAGGTCTTTATCAAGTAACTTGAACGGGTACATTTGTTGGGAAACAAATGGATTACTTTAAACTGTATTCATGGTGATTGTTTGTGCTTACTCACCTGTTCCTGAGTTTAAATCCTTCTGATTTCTCCCAAATCCATAGAAAATAATTGCTCATGAATTCCAACCATTTTTAATGAAAATATTAAGAAAATTTTCCCCCTTGTTGGGTAGTTAAAGAAGTAAATAAATCCCCTGTGAGATTCCCTCAAGGTATAGCTCTGCCCAGATCTCTAACTGAAAAGATTGGTTTCAAATGTGCCTTTGAAGTGGTCCTACGTAGGAATAGGACGTGGCGGGCCCCTGGTGAGGTTCTGAAAATGTGTTTCCATAGTGATCCCATGATGCTGGTTATTCATTTATTCAACCAGTGCTGTGTTTACTCTGTGCCTGGTCCTGGGCTTGGGGACACAGCCTCTCCCACCCATGGAACTTACAGTCTTCCAGGGAAATAACTCAACGGATAATGCATCATGCTTTGGTAATGACTCACCTGGGGTGAGCACAGGTGTGTGCCTGAGGGAGGGGACCCTAACACTTTAATTGCTCCTCTCCCTCTGTTTCAGGTCTTGAAGAGATAGGGGATACCGTCTACGCCCCTTATACCACCCATTTTCAGCTGCAGGTAAATGGTCTCTTTGTCCTTTTTATCAGCAGCCCTAGCACCATTCTGATGGCCCCTCGATGGCCACCTTGAAAGGGTGACACGTCTGCTTCGCTGTCATCCACCCCATGGGGTTAGGGCAGAAGACTGGTGTGCAGGGCACCGGGAGGGCGTTAGGGGGACGGTTTAGAAGAGGGAGAAAATGAGATTCCTGCCCAGGTGGAAGTTCTGTTCGAATATCCAGGAATGAAAGTGGGGTTTTTTCCTTCTCTTTTAATAACAATATGGCACTTGTTTTTCAGAATCGGACCTCCCAAAAGGATTTCTCCATCCCGCGGGCCCAGACTCGGGTCAGCCCTTACAATGACTACGAAGGGAGGAAAGACGGCAGTTAGCTGTTCTGAAGAGCGGGAATGGACACAAGTCAGCAGAACTAATGGGGAGTTCGAAGGGATGTGGGCAAAATCCGGAGTCTTCTAAGGAAACCACGCAAAACATTACGGGCAGACGTGGCCTCCCCGCCAGCCTTAACCGCTATTCTGTTCTGGGGTTGCTGGGGCAAGGAGGACTCCGGTTCTTAGCAGCGCTGTAGGTTTTTCCTTTGTTCCATACTTAGGATGCTTCTTATAAGTGGGAGTATCAGGCAACTCAGGGTTAGCCTCTGACTATTCCCTGTCACATTACTTGTGACTAAAGCTCTGGTCCTCTAACTGCGTGCTCGCTCATTCAACTTCCACAGCCAGCGCTCAACACTGGTTTCTAAGAATTGCTTGGCCCGGGGCAGACTGCGAATCTGAGCAAAACTAGCAAAGACCTCTCAGCCCCTCCCTGCCTGAATCTACACTGGAAGCCAGCTACCGGGACCCTTCCTTCGTGTCTGGGTAGGAGAGCTAAAGGTCACCTTAAATGGACTCATCTCTGTTGTGCTGCCTAACACAGCGCCTCTGTGGGTCTCCAGCACCAATTCACAGGTCCCTAACCTCTCCTTGTATCATTCCCAAACTTGCCGTCCATCTCCCTACTAATCTTCCCTGTATCTTTTACCAGGAGTTTTCCTTCTGGACCTCACCGGTGTGGACAAGCCCAATTTCTCTTTGCCCAGAGAATTGGTGCACTGTTCTTTCTAGAAATCCCTGGCACTGGTTCAGATCCCAGCCTCTGTAACTAGATTTGCACTGTGTTCACCTCCTGCGTTCTGTAAGCGGGCATTGTCTACGGATGGGGAGCGTTCCTTGTATAATAAGCTATTCACCGTTCTTTACCTGGAGATGCAATAAAATGTGGTGGCAACTCTTTCACTGTATGCGTGGTGGACATTAGTCATGTTGGACTTGAAGTTCAAGGTTTGGCTACAGTGGGTATGGACTTGACCCTTCTCCATGTGCTTCTCCTTCCCTTTTTCACATGCAGTGAACACAAGTGTGTTTCCCTCAATTTTTGAGGAGTGTGGCAAAGGTGAGAGGGGGAGCCAGGAAGGGTCGCGGACCCTGAGGTTTAGCTCCAGGAAGGCAGAGGCGTGGCAACCTTGGACCGGAGTTTGGCAGCCCAGGTAAGACAGGAAGGAGACCTTAAAGCCAGTTTCATGATTCACTTGTGGTTTAATTGGAGGAGGAAATAAATCCATATCCCTTATTTGACAGAACTGGTTCATAATATCTGTTGGAAAAGACATGGTACCTAAGTTATTATTTACTTAATCGCAGAAATAACTCTGAGGGGCAGGGCAACAGAAAATTGCTCTCTGGTGGAGGGGAAAAATCCCCATGCACAGGAATTGAATGACACTTAAAAATATGTAGCTGAGTTAGGCAGTTCCCTCCCAAGAGCCAGATGCTCTGCTGTCCATCAGAAGGAAAGCCTAGTGTGGGAAGAGGAGAGATGAGGGTTGGAGGAGAACGACTCACTGAATTAAGGGTATTTACATTCCACAGGGTTTGGCTGATTGTTTCCCAATGGCTTTGCACCAACATTAGTCAAGTTTTAAATGGAAAAGGAGGAGTTGCAAATAATGATTTATATCCTTCTAGGCTGTTCTAGTCATAAGAGGGCATAATCCTGAGAGGTTTGTTGTGAGGAAAGAACAATATAGCTTCACGTAGATTGTTTTGTCACAAGAATTACACATTTCCTTCCCTCCTTTCTTTCTTTCGGTCTCTGGCCTCTTAACCAAGCAAAGGGGGCCGAGTAAAAGGATTCCATAAAATACTCTGGATTGGATTTCAAATACGGGAGAAGAGTCTCCAGGTCCTCAGGTCAACCTCTTCCGTACCAGGAGAGGACATGGAAAGGGGCCTATCCCTGGAAACTGGTTTCTTTCCCGAGAAAGTGGCCTCCAGCATTTGGACAGGTCGACCATCACGTCGCTGTGTTCTTGTTCTTGAAAGGCAGTAGAAGAAGGCTCCCCCTTCGACCCCACTTGTCATCCCCTGTGGCTGCTAACCTGTCTTCACGTCTTATGTCCTCCACATAATTAAACTGTTGTTAAACTGGGCACATCTTCAGGGCCCGAGGTTTTCGGCCTCTGACCATCACTGTGATAATACTGGAGAGGAGGGTCTCTCAGCCTGTCCTGTCAAGTCTTCATCCCCAAACTGGGCTGAAATAGAACGTGCAAATTTAGCTCAGCCTGGTCCTTGAGAGAAGCCAGGTGATTAATGTCTGGGAACCCAAATGGCATCTCCTTTGAGTGAAATGGATGATAATAAAAAGAAGCTCACAACCTTTCTCTCATCTTTCATTGTCAGATGAGAAACAGACTGCGGCTCACTTCTGCCTCTCACTGCAGGCCGAGAGGACGCGCATAGCTGCCATACCGCATTCTTCCACTAGATGGCAGTAAAACCCCAGACAAATGCCCTCAAGGACGCAACAAAGCCTCTCGAAAGCAAACCTCTAAAGAGACTTCCCTGGGAAGGGCACGAGGCAGACCGGCAGGTATCCAGGGGGCTTCAGGCAAACGCGGCCCATTTTAAAAGGCTTGTGTGCATGAGCTGTTTGCGTCCTTCCTCCCACCGTCTTTAGAGAACTTGTTCTCTATCTCCTCTGCCAGAGTTTAATCACCCTGTCTTATTTTTGTGAAATTCTCCAAGGCATTTCCAGCCTATTTGCATGCAAAATGGCATCTTTACAGATGTTGGTCTCATATGCTATTGTTACTAATGTCCATGAGTATTTATGTGGTAAGAACATGGGCTTTTTGTCAGGAAAAATGTGCCAAAACAAAGAGTACAGCCTGGCCCTGGGAAAGCAGCAGTAACACCCATTCTTCCCTACTCCCTGTGCATTCTGGGTTTCCTTCCTCCATTCCCAGGCTTGTCCTTACTGCTGAGAACCGAGCTGCACCCAGCTGATCTTCTCCCTTGCCCATGTCCTTCTGTTGCAACCAGGGTTTGCAGGTTTGCCCCGGGCCCAGCCCGGATCCGAACCAGGTTTGTTTCAGAATCGGAGGTGGCGGTTTCGGATCCAGGATCTGGGGAATCAGCCTCCAGCGTGTAGACTGCTGCCTTGGAGAGTCTCTGGTCCAACCTGTGGTCCTTTGGATGTTCAGGTGCCCATGTGGGTTGTGGGTAGCACCAAATCGGCATCTGGCCCTGATTTCTGCAACCTCCAGATTGCTGCAATTTTCTTGACCCTTCGGAGCAACACTCCAGTGACTAAAATAGAGTGTGAGGAGGTCACAGGGCTTGTGTTCTCGGTGCCTCCCACCCCTCCCTTTACAGGGGAGGGACCTCAGGCCTAGCGGACTTCCTACCATTGGGGCCAGATTTTTGGTTCTGTGCTCTGTCAGCTGTTGACACTTGTGAGGTCAGGGTGAGACTTTTCTTTTTCCCAAAAGGGTGTTTGTGTAATGGATCAAAGTGACCGTGGTCACCCATCTTTTAAATTCCTCTCAGTTTCCTTTGTCTTCCCAATTGCCTTTTGTTCCCCTGCTTTCTCCTCCAGTTATCTCCTCCTTTATCTCCTCCTCACTCCTTACCTAAGCTGCGGGAGAGGGGGCAGGGGAAGACCAGCATTTTCTGGTTAAACCGCAGATCACTGTCCTGGAACCCCCAAGCCAAATGAGCTCCTGCCTCCAGTGGGAGTAGGGAGCAGGCTGTCAGAAGAGGGGTTACAAGGCAAAAAAGAGCTCTGCATTTTCTCCAGCCAGCGTAATCATCCCTCCGCTAACCTGAGGCCCTTGTGGAGACAAAAACCCATGCCCAGCACTCCACCTTGCCCTGTGTGTGGAGCGCCAGCCCCCCTCAAGGGCAACCCTTGGCCCTCTGTGCAGTTTCTGACAGCAGGTATCAGAGGCGGCCCCCGGGAAAACTTTGTAAATAACTGTGGGTTTCATGACCTGAGCCATGTATCACGGGCACCAGATTCAACCACAATCTCCAACAGAAAGGAAGAGGAAACGCAAATGGAATTTGGTTACCACATGTGCAGCACCCAACGGTCTGGTCCCAGCTGCTCCTCATTCCGGCCCCCTTCCATATTAAGATCCATCAGCTCAACTGAGAAAACAAATGAACTTCAAAAGTGCACGCAGCTCTCCCTTGAGCTCTGGGACCTGTGGTGGCGTCTAGCACCATGTCACACCCTGTTGGGACATGAAGCTACCTGTTTTCTCTCTCTAAGAAGGAATCATTCCAGATCAACTATTGTTACACACAAGGAATTGAAACAGAAAAGCCATCTATTGATTTTAGCATGATGTCTTTATGAAAAAGATAGAGATAATGATAACAGAGTTAGGAGGTCATAAGTCAAACATCCAAGAAGAGATCATTTATCAGACGGAGGTTTGGTTTCCTGTAGGGCTCTGTCTTGAGATCTATTTGGGTAATATTTTTATTGACCACTTGGATACAGATAAAAACATTCTGTCAAGGTTCATGCCTGACACAAAGTCAGGAAAGACTGTGCCATAAAACCAGAATAAAATGCATTGCAATAGACTGGAATAAGCTAAGAACTTAGTTTCAGAGTTATGAATGTATTCACGACCCCTTAGTAAGTTACACAAACGCAGGCCGGAAAGGCTCGGTGTGACGGCAGTTTTAGGTGTCTGTAAGGCTGACGAGGACCAGTGATGAGGCGCAGCCGGCAATCATTCAGTGCAGTCGTAGGCAGCCCGGGGTACAGCTGCGGAGTGTAGGTCAAGGTAGGTGCTGCCCCCACTGAGTTGGGGGCATGTTACACCACATCAGAACGTTAAATTCAGTAATCCGTTTCTGTGGCTCTCACGGTCCGGGAGGAGCTTCTCATAGAAGCTCTTTTTAGAACCACATGATATACGGAACGGCTGATGGGAATGGAAATATTTCACCTGGAGAGAAGAAGGCTTAATCTTACCATTATCATCGTTAATGAACATTTGTCGTATGCTCACCCTGTGCCAGGCTCCATTCTGCGGGCTTTACTTATATAATATTACTCAATACCAGCCCCAAGGTGATACAGCTACCAGGCAATGGAGCTGGGAGTGGACGCCGGGTGAGCTGCCTTCGGATCTGTTACACACAGCCCCATGCTGCCTCGCGACTGTCTGGAATGACGGCAGCACAGCAGGTAGCTCCTTGGTTAAGAGTGTCACAGAGGCACGTATCAGAAGCGCCCCCTGCAAAGTGGTGGGTGCCTCCTGCTGGAGGTGGTCAAGCCAGTGGTGCTCTGTTGAGGGTGATGTGGGGAATTCCGTGTTAGGAGAGAGGCTGGACTAGATAAACTTTAAGGAATCTTGGAACTCCCAGGGTTCTGGACTTTTACTTGCCAAATGGTCACACCTGGTGTTTGAATCTTAAGAACCATGGAGAGATGACTGGTTTAATTGTACAGTTTTCTTTCCCCACACCTGCAACCCAAACACTCCCTTAGCCCTCAGGTGAAATGAAAATGCACTTCATCGTTTGAATGTGCCTTCACCTTTTTGTGAGAGTTATTTATAATTGGGTGTTATAATCTGTCTCTTGGCTGGCAGTTTCTTTTTAATTTTTATTTAACTTATTGGGGTGACATTGGTTAATAAAATTACATAGGTTTCAGGTGTACAATTCTATAACACACCATCTGCATGTTGTATTGTGGCAGTTGTATTTCACAGACAATTCTGCGTAGCCTTGCTTTAAGGAGGGTGCCTGTGAATGCAGCCTGGCCTTCCCTCAGAAACCGCCGGGCGTTGGTTCCGGGGCCCCACCCCTCACCGCCCTGTGGATACCAAACTGTGGATCCTCAAGTCCCTTATATAAAATGGTGTTGTGTTTGCCTATAACCTATACACACCCTCCTGTATGCTTTAA